TCGGGCCCTGTCTCTGGGGAGCCCTTCGGTGTTCTTCGTGCCCCCGATTCCTCCGCAGCCCTGAGACCCCCGCGCATCAGTCTCTCTCTGAGCGATTGGCCCCGCCCTATTTTACAGCCCTTAGCGACGTCACTGCTCTCATTGACCTGGGTGCCCGCGGTGAGCAGAGTGACGTCATCAGTGGCCGAGGTGCGGGTTCTTTTATCTCCAGGGTGACTGCGTGAAATTGTGGAACCTTAGTGCGGGGCGGGGCGAAGGGGGGGGGCCGGGAGGTCTCAGCTCCGCCCCCTGACACCAGCTGAGCTGGGGGAAAACAATCCCGAGTCCCTCTGCCAAACCCCCGCTGGGGAAGGGCGGGGGAGCCATCGTGCCAGACCAGGGTGGGGAGGGTGACTCAGAACGGGATTCGCCCCGGATTGAGGTTCCGGGAGGAGGCGATGGATCGCTGCACCCAAGGCGAGACATTGCCCGGCAAGGGATAGGTTAGCACAGGTGGTTAGTCGCTAGGGTGATACAACTCAGGCAGCAACAGCTGGCAGTGGGTATGAACGTGATGGCGAATCGCTTGGTGGTTCTCCTGCAGGGGTGTGAGAACCAGGCCATCGAAACGCGCTGCGATGGATGTTTGTTTGTTCATCCCGTTCTTGTAATTCCTCCCATCTGTAGCCTTCATTCACTGACCCCCTGCACATGCGTCTAAAAGCTACTGCAGAGGAAACGCATCCCTGGCGCATCTTCCCTACAGTGAGTCAACAGAGGAAAAACGCGAGTTGCCAGCGTCGCTGTTATTTATTCATAAACTTACCACTGACACCAATAACTCACAGCGCTTCCCCGAGTGGGCTAAGCGGCAACATGCCGCCTCCTACACAAGGGGAAACTGAGGCTCAGAGAAGTGACTTGCCCCTCCCCAGCCTCTTCAGCTCCCATTGGCCATCTCTTCAGGGGTTTCAAGGAATGAATTCTTCCTTCGCAATTGCAGGGTCACCCTGGAGATATCAGGCCCCGCCCCTCAGCCCTTTATGATGTCACTCAGCTCGGCATTGCCTGCAGGCCATTGGGGCGGTCCCCAGGCTGAAGGTTTTAGGGAAGGGCCAGGCCATTGGACTCTCTCCGGGAGGGGCTGGTGCGCAGGGTGAGGCGCAGGGTGAGGCAGAGCCGGGTGGAGGAGGACGGACAGGAAAGAGACAGAATGTGGCTCCCACACAATAAGATACAGGTCCAAACTCCCCCCCCCCTTCAATGAGCTGCCTCTTTGTGACGTAGTGGGGGTGCTTGCTGGGTTGTGGTGACCTCTGCTGTCTGGAGCAAGACCCAGCAGGGAAAACCTCACTATGCAAAGGTAATGCCAAACTTGTTGAACCAGACACCCCCCACGGAGAGGAACAAAGGAAGGGGGAGGCTTCCCTGGCTGGGTGGCAGGGCTGGAAGAGGGTGAGTTTAGTTGCGGGCTGGGAGCATGGAGGAGACAGCCTAGGGAAAGGGGCTGGAGTTTAGGGGCCCAGTCTCCCCCATCTCAAGGGGGCCTGAGGCATCCTAGCCCAGCTCTGTGACCAGATT